CCTTTAAAAAACTTTAGCAATTTCTTTCTTTCTATGCAAACAGTTTTAATAATATGGTGTAAAGTTGTTAAAAAATAAAGACTCACAAAGTCTAATAAAATAATTCATGACCACATCTGTATTAAAGTTTTTGAATTAACCTCGCTTTTAGTAATAAAATTATTTTATGGCACTTGAATCTATCTCTTTTCACAAAAAATAAAACTTTTGTTTAAATATACAAATAGCTAGTTTCATTTTTTTGATGTGTTTTTATTCTCATAAAAAACTGTCTAATAACAAGTTGATCTACTGATAAGTTCTTTAAGTAGAAAACGATCTTTGTACACCCAGTTGATAATAGATTCATGCTCCATTCTAAACCAGAGGATCAGTGTTTGTTCAAAACACTCACAATAGTGACAATAACTTTTACGAATTCTTTATTTAAACGCTAGCTTGTTATTTATGAGACTTAAATTCTATTCTGAGAGAAGGTATATTGAGCAGAGGTACTGCAGGTAAAACTAATTTCTGATGATAATAATCGAATGGGTATCTAATATTTAAATCAAATGTTACATATAATAAAAGACAATTTTAAAATTAACTACACAAACTAATACTTTAATAATAACAAGTATGCAATAGATATGAGAGGATTAAACAACTTATCGGATAGATATCAGAAGATTAAACAAATTATCTAATGCTTGTAGATTAGCCACGAGAAAAAAAACCCGCCAAAGTTTGTTTATTTATTCACTAAAGTTTGTCTCGCTAAAAAAGCTGTTTTAATAAGTTTAATTACATAGTAAATTGGTAAGTTTAAAGTTACGTCATTGCTTTAAAAGGTAAACGCAAATTTTACGCATGTAACTAAAAATTTTGTTGCTAAACCTGCTAAGATTGAAGACTTATCTAGAAGTACAGAAAGAAATTTTTTTGGTTTTCATGTGCATAAAGGGTTGTAATTTCAATAATTTGGCGAGCTTAACAAAAATATATCGTTTTTCATATAAAACAAGTAATAATAAAAATATAAATGCTAAAAAATCCAACTTATATATATATTTTTTTATTAATGTTCACCAAAAATCTGATAAAATATACATTTATAAGTATATAAAATTTCAACAATCAAGCATGTAGCTTAGAATATTAAATCTTGATTGGCCGAAGACAGATTTTCCGTTAAAATCGCCAAAAAACAGAAAAGTGATCCTAAATCATTTAAAATATTTTAACAATGTTTATTTTTATTTCGTCTAATGTAAATATTTATTTAAAGAAGAAAGATAGTTCTTTTATATTTTTTTAATTTAAAGATGAAAACGTTTATAGAAAAAAAAAAAACACTATTATTTTAAAGTTAGTAAATTTTATACTTTTTATGCGGAAATACCTTCTTTTTTTAAAACACAAAAATTCTTGTGAAGTCAAGCTCGCTTTTATATTGAGTGAAACAGCCGTGCAGGCTATTTGTCACTTGATGTATGTACTGAAGCCCCCAGCAGTAGGCTGTTTCAGTATAACATCAGACTGTTCACTTAAACCAGCAGTATAAAATTTGTTTATTTGTTTGAACAATGAAGATCAAAAAATTCAAAAATATTGATTTATTTTACTACATTTTAATATCTTTTGCTACCTCTGTCCTATGTACCATTGTAATGTATTTTCTGTTATGTTTTAAATACACATATATTTGTTTCTTTTTGTGTACAATTATGTTTTACCTTGTGTAGGCAATTTGATTTTTAACTTATTTTATATTTTGGTTATCATTTATCTTTTCAGTAACTAATTAACTTAAGAAAAGCTTACTCGAAATAAGGCTAAAGTATTTCTGGTAAAGAAAGTTAGAGAAAATCTTTCATGTTCTAAACTTCCTACTGGCATAGAGGTTTTGCAATACTACCTATATCAAAAAAACTTGATTCCCAAAGTAAAGAAAACGGTTTTAATCAGTGTCATTTCAGGATTTTCTATCATAACCTTGGAAAAGATCAGGTAAATTATGAAATTTATCAACAAGTTTATTTTTATCTCTATTTTAAAAATTGAATAAATTTTTCATTATAAAAATAGAAGATTGATGTAATAGTGAACAACTATTTTTTTATTTTTTAATTTTTTTTAATTTTTTGTTCTTTAATCTTTACAAACTCGTAATATATAATATACTATTAGAAGTTAACAAAGAATAGCAAAAGGAACAGCCCAACAGATACAAAAAAGAATTAAAATTTTTTTGAAGAAATGTTAAAATACTTTTGGATAAGAAAAAAAAAAAAGAGAATTAATTGAAAGATATTATGAAAGACAGGAGAAGAACATCCAAAGCCAAAAATGAAGATATTGCGTTTATCTTGAACCATCTAGGAAAACCGAACGGGAAGAATAGGAATAAATGATAAAAGGTTTACATACACTATTAAGAGATCCCACAAATTATTGTGTTCCATGTTAAACATGAAAATTAAACTAAACAATTGTAGCAATCTAAACGGTTTAAAAAAATTTTCAAGTTGTGATAATAATTCTGACTGTGAATATGTTGCAGAGATAAAAAAAAATTTACCCCTGTTGTTTTGTTACCAAAGAATATATAAAAAAAACAGTTCTAACAGCAATAGGTAAGGGACTTTCAGTTACACAACGCACTGCAATAGTGGCAAGTGTTATTGCTGATTCAAGAGGTGATGTTAATTATTTTGCAATATCTTCTTCAACTGCCTTTAGAGTTGCAGAGGAAGTTGTAACTAAAAAAGGAGAAGAGATTAAAAAACACATTACTGATCTTGTTAAATTTTCATCATTACCAATTGTTCTCCATTTATCCGAGTAGTAAAATAAATGGCTCAGATAATCCATCATTTAAGAAGCTTAAAGATGTATGGAACTCAATTGATCAAAATTCCATTTTGTTAAACAAAGTGAAAATTGAAGATATTTATGATAGCTGGCTCCAGGTACAGTTCAAGGAGGCCTTATCTTTTATTTTAAATATTATCAGAATGAAAACAGATAAAAAGTTATTTAAAGTTTTGAATAAATTGTATCCAAATAGTCTTATTTAGGATGTTTGATTATCTAGAGTTAGTCGAATTGACAACAACGGTTTATCTGGTGATGTCTACAATCTACATGCTAAGAAAACCTGGCCTGTACACCATACCAAACTTATGGCAAAGAAATATACTTCATGAAAATGTATCTCTTTTTCGACAACATTTCTAGCTTTACAGATTTCAAGAAGAAATAAATGATATGGCATTTTTCACAGTTGATTCATTGTATTATTCATTGAGTAGTTTATAAAGGCTAAAATTCCGACTGTCGCTCCATATCAGGTGACATGTTTTAAAAGTTTTTCATCATTTTGGTTTTTATTACTTTTTTTCGTTGAAAATTATGTGTAATATTTAATAGTCTAAAAATCTTTAGGATATGGAAACTCTTTGGCAAATGGTGAGATCAAAAATCAATCCTGTAAAACCTGTTATAGAGTCTCTAAAGAGACACACCACGTACATAGACCCAAATATTTTAGATATGTCTCTTGTTGACAAAAATGTACAAGAACAGAGTGACATTGCCGAGAAGTTGTACTTAACCCCAAAACCTACAACTTATGCCATAGAGAGACATTAAGTTAATTTAAATATATTGAACTCCCTTATGTTTAATGAAGATAATCCCCCAAATTTGACCCCGGTTAAAACTGACCAGAGTTAGTCAGTTATAACTTTTTATATCTTAAACCATGCAAATGCGTAAGTACAGTGGCTTAAGACTACATCTGAGATACGGGATCTAAATGACTATTACCTAGAATTCAAACAATTTGTGAATAATCTTGAAGTAGTAAATGACTGTAATGAGAGGACTATAAAGCTAGTTCATGTCTCTATTTTTGTTTGGTCCTTACTGTTTATGTTAAAAATCTCTATCTATTTCACGAGCTCATTACTTTTAAATATTCCTTGATAGGAGTTGATCAATAAACCGCACAATGAGGTTAAAAGACAAAGTACCTCGTATCAAACAAGTATAAGAGTGAAAGAACAATATAGAAAAAAATCCGAATATAAAGAGTAAAGAATTCTTTGTTAACAAAATAAATTCATAAACATGAACTGTTTGACAACTAATTACTTCATAAACTAATCATAAATATAATTTTTCTTGTGTTATTTAGATGCCCCAAAAAGACCTAGCGGTTTTGTCGCAGAGCACCGCGGAAGTGCATTTAACCAGGAAGTTCACGCCTTCTTCCTTACCGTGACACAAAAATATGTCCAGAGCTTGTTTCGAACCGATATCCTGCTCATAAAGCAAGCGTTCTAACCACTGGGCCACGGCCGCCTGATCTTATTATGTAAATATAAATATTTTAATATGTAAAGTATCTTGTTACTGATGTAGTGCAAAAAACCTAAAAATGCTTAACTTTTTAAATTTTTTGATCTTGAAATTGTTCAAGTAAAAAAAAAAAAAAAATTAAGCTTAACATTCTATTTTAATTTTCTTCAAAAAGATTAAACAACAAAAAAAAAAGAAGGAAGAAAAATTAATTTTCTCGGTTAGTCCGAAATGTGGGCAAAAAACGGGTAAAAAAAATGACCTTTGGACCCTTTGAAGGAAGTCATGGAATGATCTAATCATGAAAAAAAAAAAAAAAAAAAAAAATTAGTAATATCAAGGTTGGGGCACTTTATGAAAAGCAATGTTAGTTTAAATTGAAAAAAGTCATTATTTTGGAACACCCTAATATATATATATATATATATATATATATATATATATATATATATATATATATATATATATATATATATATATATATATATATATATATATATATATATATATATATATAAATATAACCATTGCGCATCCTTCTTACTTCGGTTTTAAATAAATCATAAGAAAAATTTATTGCTATTAATATTATAACTAGTTAGTATATTTTAAAACATATTTAATAATAAAAAAATAAAACTTTACTTATCATTTTTTAACCACTATTTTTATTTTATATATTTATTATGTTAAACATTTTATAGAGTTATGAAGATTTTTAATTCATCAAGATTATAAAAATCTTTTCCACGGTACCTGATCCTAAACCACTTGATATTCAAACAACGAATCCATTCATAAACATGTTCAATAAAATCGATGCCGTTGTGAAGAAAAAGAATTAATCCTTCACAAAGATGAATCCACGGAAGAAAATTTTCTTCAAAATCTTTCTTCGTTATTAAATAATCTGAGATCCATATCCCTAACTCGTGAATTTTATTTTTTGGTGTCCATCGATCGAGTTTAATAGGACGATAAAAGTCAACACCATGAACAAAAGTTGAACATTGAATTAAAAGTTTTTTTTCATCATCACTTAAAACATCTTTAAAAACACTTAGTGACGATAACTTTCTTCCTGATTTTATGTAATGATTTATGAAATAATTATCACAAGATGTTTCGTAAGAAGTTTTCCCATCTCCAATCTTAATACTCCACAACTTTTGTTTATCAATTATTAATAATATTTCATCAGTAAATGATGATTGACTTTCATAAAAACATTCATAAAATAAATTATAGTCATCACTTCTAAGTAAACTAATACTTTCGCTTAGATGATCTAAAGATAAACAAACAAATTAATGATACAGTAGAATCCCGTTAACTCGGACTCTGAACAGGTATATATATTTTGCCCGACTTAGCGAATGTCCGAGTTAAGTGAAGCTTTTCGATATGTATAGGAAATTGAAAATTTGTCCGACTTAGTAAAAGTTCGACTTATCCAAGGTATGTCGGACTTTTATTAAGTCGGACAAATTATTAATTCCCCTTGATTTCTCTATACATATATACCCGTTCAGAGTCCGAGTTAAAGGGATTCTACTGAAAAATAAATATCGAAATTTTAATATTATATAGATAACAATATTCTACATGTTAATTTATATATTAATATTAAATATTAATTAAATAAAAAGTTATATACAAAATAGTATATAATAGTACATACATTATTTTTTACATTATAATTAAAACTATGAAACTTTTAAATTAAATAATTCTTTAATTAAAATTATAAAATTATAAATGCAACATTCTTCAAATAATATAAAACAAGGTATTCAAACATAAATAAAACAAAGTTATTCTTAACAAAATTTGATTATAAATAAACAAGGTAAATCTTAAACAGGATTTAAACATAAATGAAACAAGGTAATTTATAAACAGGATTTAAACATAAATAAAACAAGGTAATTCTCTAACAAGATTTAAACTTAAAAATATAAACATTATGTTGTATTCTCATGTGTTAAAAAAGCGAAACTAAATTGCAATTTTTTCTATAAAAGAGTTTTATTGTTTAAGTAATGAAAGTGATATTATTAGTAAACTTCCACTGACAAGATAAAAGCTGTTCAATTAGAGTTTTATCTTCTTTTGAGGTGTGATAATGACGTCAAGAAGATGTTCACATTGTTTTAACAAGAGAAATGACATTCATTTTTGGCACCTAGCAAATATCATCCCAGTTTGACAAGTAGTTCGATCAACTTGAATAATGTGGATGCATGAACTTTACTAAAAAATTATTCTCTTTATCCATTTCCGAAACCATACCAAGCCAGTAAAATTCATTGTATTTGCAAAATAGGTATTGCGATATCATAACATAATCTTAATAGTTTAATATTTTTCGTTATTGAGAAAGTCAAATGATAGAGCAAAATCATTATCAGATTCTCTTTTCATTTTTATATTTGAAAGAGAAGGTAAAAACTGATGGAAACTTTTTTCCCAATATAAGTGGTTATTATTAAAAGTCTATCAGTAAGTTTGTTTCAAACAAGCTCTTTTTGCAGCAGTTGAGTGGCCATACATAATCCCACTGGTTAACTTTTGACAGTATTCAAATATTTTTTGAGCAGGCAGCGTTTGACTTTTGTTTGGACTCTGCATGCTAGCAGTGTCAACAAACCTTTTTACAGTGCTACCTATTTCATGGAGATTTACCATGGCTTGTTATAAAGAAATTCCAGATGCAACTAACAGAAAAATCTTTTGTTAGTTGACAAATCTTTAGCAAATTGTAGAAATGTTTGCAGTTCTTACACAGCCTACATAGCCATCAGAAAAAAAAACGGGACAAAGATTAGCTTTAATATTATTAATGGTTTTATGCATAACGTCATTGATAAATCCAACATCATGATTCAAATAATTTAAAATTATGCAAAAAGATGATGTTCCCAATTTTATTTTCTAGTAATAGACAACTAAATGAAGAGAACACTGGTCAATGGAACTCTGTATCTCGCTTTGTACTAAAAAAGTGTAGTTCTCTGCAAAATCTTCCAGGGCAATTGCATCATCAATAATAATTGTTTCTTTGACATGCTTTAAATAATTAGATTGTGATTTTGCTATAAATGAATGAAAAGTAATTTTACAGAGCTTTTCACACATGAAATCTACAAATTCATTTAATGGCAGGTTTATTGTTAATAGTTCAGTTCTATCTGATCTTGTCTAATGTTTGAAATCCCCTAAATGTTCATTTTCATCATTGTCATATTACTCTTCTGGTTCATCATTTTGTATCAGATACTATTGTAAACACAAACTGAATGAGTACCTTTTAGATCAAAAAGATTGTAACATTTAGGCCAAAGACTGCAAAATGTGGATACTCCAATTTTATGGTTGGGGTACTTTATATTTACAACAATAAAATTAATTTTTTTAAATATTTTTTTTCCAAGACTAATATAGTCTTTTTTCATTGCATTTTTTACTTTTTTGCCTCGAATACTCATCACCAATGTAAAAAAGCTTTAAAAAGTTCTATAAAATCTTTGCTGATTTGATGCCGTTCAACCACATAGATGCAATGATGTCTTTTTGGTAGCATAAAAACTTTGCGTTTTGAATTTCACGTTTAGTAACTGAAAACTTTTTTACTGCTTTTCTGATAGACAAAGATTTTGGGGTCAATGCCAAAATATGAAGTTGCTGCCTTTAGTTAGAAACTTAATGTTTTTTTTTATTATGCATTCAACAAGAAAGTATAAATAATTAGCTTTTATTTAAATATCTTTTAAAAAATTAATGTTGTTTGGTGCAGCAAAGTTGGATTCAATGATATCCATAGCAGTTGCAAATTTGCTAATGTTTACTTTTCATCCTTAACTTATTTTTTTCAAACTTACCTTATCTTTCCGAGAAAAAACTTCTTAGAGGTTTTGGGTAAATGAACTTTTAGAGGAGACACTTTAGAGGAGACAAGTTTGCATAATGTACAGTTGAGCAATGATCTTGTTAATACCAGAAAAATTTCTTTCTTCATATATTATCTTCAACTAATTTTAAATAAAACTCTTTCTCTTCTGAATCTTTGCATCATTCTATTTTATGCCTGCATTGTGGAAAAAGCTTTTCACCTGGTACTATAATTTATCTTTACTGCATACGGATTTTGCTGTATCCAAGTTGAAAAAAAGAAAAGAACTTATTTCAATCTATATAAAAATATTATTAAAACCATTTAAAGTTGAAAGTTTTATTGCATTTAAATGAGCGCTTTAGGGAAGTTAGCTAAGCGTAAGGTTAAATAGAACTTTGCTGCCAAGAATTTTATTAAGGTATTTCTCGACACTTTCATATTGCAAATTTAAGAAGTAAAAGTTGTCACTACTAAAAATACCTTTTTTAACTTTGTTATGGGTACTACTCTTGAGTCCCTTATTAAAGGAGGGGATGGGGATCATTTATTAATTTTTGGAAAATTTAAACACCCACCTCAAGCTTATTAAGACCCTCCTCTTTATTAATTTTTACTTAATATCAATATAAAAAAAAATCAATAAAAATCGGTCTTAAAAATTAGAAAATAATTATTTCAGTCACTGATAAAACAAAATTTTTTCAGTGTAAACATGCTTTAAAAATTACAGACAAAGTAAATCTAGATTTATCGAAAATGAGCTTTTAATTTATTTGTCACCGAAGTATAAAAATTATATCAACATATTAAATCCTATTGATATTATAATAAAACAGCTATTAAAAAGTTTTATAAATTTTTTGTAACTCTTTCATTAGAAAGAAACTTCAAGTAAAAAGTTTGCTTCAGTAACATAAGGTTGACAATTAAGAATGCTATAGAAGATTGTCACTAAAGAAAATATTTTTTTCTTCTTTAGTGGCGCTGGTCCTTGCACTTTGGCGTTATGCAATGCTTCTTCCATAATTAGGGTAATCACAATTTTTTAGCAGCGACTTTAGTTCATTTAAGCATAACTTTTCAATATCTTAATTAGATGTAAAAACAATTTATTATTTTTAACGTGTAATGGTTGATGACTATTATAGATTAAGTAATCACAATGTCTGTTTAAATTTTTTTGAAATTTTTAAAAATACTTGCAATGTCTAAAAAGTTAATAACACTGTAGGTGTTACCATTTTTTAAAAATTCAATACCAAAATTAATTATTCAATACCAAAATTAATTATTCAATACCAAAATTAATTATTCAATACCAAAATTAATTATATATAATTTTAAATTAGCTGATGTCAAGATTTTTTGGCCAGATTATAAAACCATCATCAATATATATATTTTTTTATTTTAATTCACCTCCTCAAGGCCCAGAAGGCCACTACAGACGAGGAGGCTACTTATTTGTGGCTATAACCCTCTCTCAACTCTATAACTCCAAAACACAAACCTTGACGAACAAGGCTGCTGCGCGGAGAAACGAGTAAACAATATATCTTAAATAAAATTTCTCTATAACATTTACATCACAGTTAGAAAAGTATTGATGTAAGATTTTTAGAAAAAACTTATCTTCTAAAAATCCAATAGTTAGGCATGCATAATCTGGTGCAAAATCTGTACCCATGGCTGTACCAGTTTTTTGGTGAAATAACTGTTTACCAAAAATGAAATTATTATTATTTCAAATAAACGATGCTGATTCAATTATAAATTCAAGAGTAAATCTTTTATTTGTAAATTCTATATGTTTATAAATAAGAACATTAAGGTTTCTATCCTAAGTTTATAGTGGAATACTAGTTAATCATGTCACATGTCATTGTACAACTTTATGATTAAACCTCTCTTCGAATTTTTTTGAGGAAATCCCGGTCATCTTTAAAGAATGTTTTTATTTCCTTATGATTGGAGACAAAATTATATGTAGAAACTTGCTTAAATGAGATGTTTTGTGAGTTTATTCCGGCAATAATTGGTCTGCCTATAAGGTCTTTAGGTGATTTTATTTAAATAAATAAAGAGTTGGACAATTTTACCTTGTCAATAATTTCTTGTCATTTGTGAATTTTAAGAATTATATAGAAGCTACTAGACCTCCATTTAAAGTTTGTGATATATTTTATTTCATTAGCCATGAGAAATTTATGTTTTTCTATCTAATTATCTTAGATAGTCTTAGATATTAATTATATCTAATTTATTAAGTTGTTAAAAACTCTTTCATTGAACTTTAGTAGGTTTAATTTGTTCAATTTTTGTAATGATTTCATTAATTCTGGCAGAGTGATTTTAGTAATATAATTTGATTTATTTTTAACTAAACTCATTTTATATAACTTTTCTTTTCAGTTTCTGTGAAATTTTTTATATCTGCATCAATATGTAAAAAATTACTATTTGCTGTTGGTCAAAAAAAGATATTTGAGAAGGTGTCAAGTGTATGATGGATAATTTTTTTTTAATTTATAATATAATAATTATAATAATTACAATTACAATTAAAGTTATACGGTAAAGATATGAACAGATATAAATAAGTTGATGATCTTAAGTTGTGTGTATATATATATATATATATATATATATATATATATATATATATATATATATATATATATATATATATATATATATACACAATATGTATATATATATATATATATATATATATATATATATATATATATACATATTAACTTTTATTTAAATTGCACAAGTGTAAAAGTTAAATATAGTGGTGGAAGTGTAATATTATGCTAGTAAAAGTGTAATGGTATGGTGTTGTAAGGCATAGAATGACTTTGGTAAATTTGAATTTGTTGATGAATGAACTATGAATGCTAAATTGTATAACAGTATTTTGAACTGAAATTTTAAATTTCAGTTCAAAATACTGTTATACAATTTTGAACTGAAATTTAAAATTTCAATTTTGTGTTTCAACAGAACCAAATTCCGAAACACACTGCAAAAATATTTAAATCATTTTTTAAAGAAAATGACATAAATGACAAATGACAAAATTCGCAATTCCTTTATTTGATCCCAAGAGAGCATTTATGGACTTTACTAGATAAAAAAGTTAAAATATTTATAAAAATTAATTAACAAAAAATAAAGATTTGAAGAAAGCTATTGTTAAATAAAGGCCCAAGTTTGAAAAAATCATGTCTAGTAAAATCAATACCAAAATGCTTTTAAGTTGTACATAAGGAAAAAAAATGACCAACTAAATATAAAAAATATATAAAATATAATAAATAAAAAAAAAGATGTTATTTGTCAGTTATTTTATTTATCTTTATTAAATGTTTTTCTTGTCTCATTATTTTATGTGCAAGTAATTTTAGCACTTTCTTCTAGTTTTAAATTCTTTATCAGTTAATTAAAAAACAAACAAACAAAAATTTTTAACTTTTTTAATGGATATTTTACAACATGAAAAATCTGAATATAAAAAAGTTCTTTATAATTAGTGTACAATGACAAAAAGTCGTTACTTTTTTAATCTCTTAGAACAGTCCTTCTTGAATCTCTACTTTTGTGACAGCTTGAGGTTTGCACTGGTGGGTGAATTTTTAAGCCTTAAAAAACTTGTTTTTTGCTAATAATAATCATATTACTTTAAATAATTCATTCTATATTTATATCAAAATGAACAGCAATTATATTACTCAATGTTGTGACTTGGAATATAATCCTCTGTGGTACATCTTCTTGGATTATTATTCACTAATGATCTTTTTAAGGAAACCATAAATACAATCAATTGCAAAATTAGCAAATGCTAAAAATGCCTCTTTTTGTCATGCTCACCATTTTATAACTCCTGATTTCATTCCTTACTTCTATAAATCTCATACTCTTTTGTATAGAATATTTAAGCTCTTGTTTACGCTGATTTTCTCATTTAAGTCTCATTTAAACAGATTTTTCTTGCTTTTCTCTATTTTAGATAAAGTGCCAAAACATATTGTAAACGCCAGTAAATATGTTATTTGACTTGTTGAAACTGCTAAGCTTGAGCCTCCATTCTATTGACACCCCAGTTGTTTCTTTTTCTTTTTCCTATAAAAACTACTATTGTTACTTGTCAAATGAGCAATTAATTATCACTTGTTCCAAAATACAATCTTGTATGACCTGTCATTCAGATAAGTCTCATCCTATTGCTGCTACTATGTCTTTATGCTCAAATTACTTTTAATCGTTTAGTTTTTTTCCTCATTGCTTTAGAATCATTTCTTGTTCTTTTTTCCAACTCATACAATTCACAGTTTAAACTTTGTTTACTAGTTTTTTACACTGTAAGTATGCATAGAATAGTATTTTTGGACTATAACTTATATTGTCTTTACTGAGCATGTAATATTTATTTATTTTAGCGATTGCATAACATTTTTTAAAAAAGATTAATACAAATTTTAAAGACTATTAAAAAATATAAATTTTTATACCTAAAATCCATTTGCTTTTGGTACAATCAACCACTTTCTTGTTTAAGAACCAGTTTCCTATGATAATCATTATTTTTTTTAATATATTAAGATAATAACAATTTTAATGTAAAATAATAATGCAACAAAACAAAAATTTTATTTCAATAAAAAAAAAAAGTATATATTTCTAATATATTTTGCGACAATTTTTTTTTTGAATACTGAAAAAATAAAAATAATTTTTTTTTTTTAGGGGTTGCTCAAGACATATAATAGGTCTCAAAAGTTATTTAATAAAAATGTTGGATTTGGATTAATTTGTCCTTTGATAAAACTTGAAATATCCGATTTTCTTCCCATGTTAAAAATGCATCAAATTATACTCCAAATGCCTAAAAAAATGAAACAATATTGTTATGAAATGGAAAACGCTTAATGTGCTTTGTGTTGATAACAAAATTTGACCACACAATACAACACATTTTGATGACGTCATCCAAAGACAATGAAAAAGTGATAATTTGTTGTTTTTTAAAGGTGGCCTTAATTTTTTGCACACTACTGTATATATATATATCTTTTTCTTTTTATAATGTTTTTCTTTTTTTTTTCTTTTTTTATTGAGAAAAAATGCAGATATTCACTAATATTTCTGCTAAATTTCTCCAGGCAGGGGTTACCACTGCCCTAATTTTTTCCTAGAATAGCTCATGTATATATATATATATATATATTTATATATATATATATATATATATTATATATATATATATATATATATATATATATATATATATATATAATTAAAAATAAAGTGTTTTCATGATTTTTAGTACATACACCAACTGATAGAATGTGTAAAGAAATACAGATATTTCAACTACATGTTTGGGTTGGGGCAGCAATCTATTTTTTTTATTATGATTTGTTTTTGTGTTTGTTTGTCAAAAGGTATGAAAAAAGCTAAAAATGTTACTGAAATGCTATCTATAGGCACTATAGTAAAAATTTAGAGCTTACCAAAATTAGAGAACCAAGGTAAAGATTCTATGAATGATCTTTTTAAAGGATTTAGGTTAACAAGAAACCTTAACAAACTATTTTGGCTTTTATTAGTTAATCCACAAATTATTGATAAACAACTTTTCAGCTTTTCGTTGGCCGTAATTTCGTTATTACTTAAACAATTATATGCATATACAGATGCGCAAAACTCCATCATTGTCAAATGCACAAACTGATAATGACAGCCCAAATCAGTTTCAATCTTTTCAATAAATCCAAATAGATTATATTTATCGAAGTCACTAATAAAATTTTTAATTTCTTCTTTTGAAAAAATTACTTTATTTTGAACAAACAATTCATAAGCAATTTTACAAATATTTAAAATACTTTTTTTATTAAAATTTTCTTCCATCATCTCATATAACAATTTATTATTGTTGATGACTTGTCTTTGCAAAAAGTATAAAAAAATATTTGCATACAAATCTGTTATAGTTGAGAAGGAACTTGTATATATATTTTTTGAATCACTAATAATTTTACACATATAAGATAAATGAAATGGAACAGATGCCATGGCTTTTGCAATAGGAGATTCTTTTAAAGTTGCTTTCACATCTTTTTTTTTTTCTTCTTTAACATTACTTTCTACAAAGTTATTAATTTCATTTTCATTAAACCCCATTATTTGAATAGTTAACTTATCACTGTGTTCTTTAGATATTCTTTGGTATTGATCAATTGCATTAACTCTACCAGCAACTACATGTTTGTATTTTTGAATTTCTTTTAAAGCATTAACAATCGGATACTTACAACTTACACTTGGATTTAATAATTCATTTAAATATTTAAACTCATCTAATCCATCAATTAAAAACAGTGCAGTATGGTAACTAATATTAAAATTGTTTATGATATCATAGTAGAAAACATTAATTAATTCATTAACATTAGAAACATTTTGATGTTGATTAAGCCTTCTGCATTCCAAATAAAACACAAGTGCAACATTTTTCCAAATCAAATTGTTTGACCAATCAAGCAAACATTTTTTAAGCAACCATGTTTTACCAATACCTGCTATTCCAGATATTAATACTACAGATTTTTCTTTCACAAATATTTCACTATAAGGAATCGGTTTGTAACTAACTTGCTTTTCAAAAAATTCCTTTCGTTCAATAGAACAAACATCCATTTGTGTACAAACTGTATTAAAAAATTTATGTATTATATCAACATTTGCAGGAGCTTTTATTGGTAGTTGAGCTTCATATAGTTTTAGATAATACTTTTTTAGTGCTCTGCATACTTCTAATATATCTAAATGCAAACAATTTATTATCATCATGATCATCATGATCATGATCATCATGATCATCATCATGATCATGATCATCATCAACATCATCATCATGATCATCATCATGATCATCATCATTATCATCATCATGATCATCATGATCATCATCACCATCTATTACTATTAAATGTTAACTACCTTTCTTGACATCAAATCTTCTACAATTTTCTGGTGAATTCAAAGAATCTAAATGATAGTTATTTAAAGTGAAAACTTCCAGCAAGTTTTTCATTAAAGGTTATTTAAAATTATTGCCTCTAACAAACTTCTAATTTAAGATAAACTAAAGTTAATCTTATATTTGAAGACTATAACTCTGATATTCCTACAAATTAGCATATACTACTCAAGGTAATTAAAAAAGTTTTTATTTACATTTAATAATTAATAACTTTTAGTGATAAATGAATAAGAGATAATAATTAGAGAGTAGACATTAGGGTGTCCTAAAAAAACACTTTTTTAAAAATTTTAATGTGCTCTCAACTGATTCCCATTCTATAAGTCCTAAATAACTACCAAAATCTTTTTTTAAATTTTTTAACAACTAGAAGTGATAAATGTAAATTCTAAGTTTTTTAGTTTTGTACAAATGTACATAACCGTAAAACTTTTACATTTATCATGTGTATTTACATAAAAACAGTGCTATCTAGTATTTCAATATGTTTTAATATGATGTAATAATTGGCACACAAGTAATTCCTGTAGGACATTATTCAAGATTGGCATCATTTCCTATGAATATAGTTAGCAATTAATATAATTCCCTCTGGACAATATTATTAGTTGGTTTAATTCCCCATGGATTGGTTCACAAATGATTCCAATTAGAAATTCTAAAATTTAGAAAGCTGTAATGGTAAACTTAGATAAAATATGATATGAGGGAATAACGACTTCATAGATTTTTGATGCAAGTGTAAAGTTTAGTATAAATCTAGTTGAAAAACTGATTATTTTGAAATTCATATAAAAAAGGGTGAAACAGCTAAAAAAAGGATGATAATGAATAACAAAAGAAAGACAGAATAAGATACGGAAAAATACAGAATGGTTGAAGTATATTTATCTATTAAAGTACCCACTGAGGGATTTTTCTCAGAGACAGCTTACATCTAATGGTGATACTCCAAGATACTATCAATTTATCCTTCGCAAGTTACAGGTTAAATACAAACCCACTTCTACTAATGTTAGTTGTAAAGGATCTTGTTTGTAAAAATGGTGTTTTTAAAGATCCTGATAATACTTGCTTAGTTACTAGGATTAAAAATTTTTTAGGATAATGCTGCATTTGGAAAGAAATTCGTGATTTCTTGGTACAATATAAAGACCAAAATCATTAAACTTAATTTAAAATACAAGAAATTGAATCAATTGTCTTCTCTAATCTGGGACAGCAGTCTTGATAAGCAATCAAAGTTAGAGAAAGATTTTTTCACAGAAACCTTTTTTTTTTTATCAGCTTTTTGACAACTCGACTAAGAACTTTGAATAAGATATTCTTGCTGATAGATTGAGAACAGATGATGCCAAGCTGGAAGATATAAAGTAAGTTCATTTAATAACACTTTTTTGAGTAGTAAGATTTTTTTTTCGATTTTAAGTAACTTAAGTAATAGCAGATTATTTCCTTTCAAATATTTGTTTAACTCTTTCCAAAGCTTGGTCATCTTCCAAGAAAAGATAGAACAATTATTAATTTATTTATAAATGTCTTTTTAGATTTAAATAGTTTTTTAATTTTTATTAGCACCAGAAGTTGGATAGAAAAGGATATATGGGAACAAAAGTCGAAGGAAGCTACAGTAGGAGAGTATTGGATGCAAATAAGAGAAAGAACAAGCTAGATAAGTTGAGATATAAAGAATTAGAGACAGAAAAACTTAAAAGATATCAATGTTTTGCTGTCACATGACTGCACGACAGAAGAGATTCAATTCAGTAGTGAAGAAGATAAGTCAAATGAGGACTCTGAAATCAGTGAGGAAAAAGATTTTCTGGGTAATGGTCGGAAACGCAAGTATAGTATTATTTTAATAACATAGCAGTAATTTTAACTAACAAAAGCTGTTGAAAAGTTTATACTTAGAAATATATAGAAAAATATAATTTAATGATATGCTGCTTTCACGAAGCACACTTCATAGAAAAAAATTCAAATATGTAGAACTTGAAGGAGACTTGGAGTGGATTTCAATAACAAATCATCTTTAAGACTGACAGCTTATTCTTTATTTTGATACCTGTTTGATACCTGTATAAACTGTTGGAAAAAATTACCACTGAGATTAACATTATTCAAAAAATTGAGCAACTTGCAGTCTCAGTAAGCTCCCCGGATGACAATACCATGGAAGACCATCTTTTAGCAGGTTTGGATAGTAATGGCATGTGATCAAGCGCTATTGCTGACCACGCAAATGATTTTATTTTTTGACAACTTGATCACAAATGTTTATATGTTTTGATGATTTAAACATTTCAGAAATGTGCTAAATGTAGAAATGCTAACCTAAACTTAGGCTAAAAAAGTTGAAAAAAAAACTAATGAAAAAAAAAATTTCTAACAAAGAAAAAAACGAAAAAAAAAATTTTTTATGAAAAAAATATATAAACACTAAAAAAAAAATTAAAAACTTAAACTTGAAGTTAAATTTTTTGTTACATTTTTAATTACGTTTGAAATAAATGTTATTCAAAATTTACGCAAAACGCTTTTAAATTAAGTAACAAATTACTACTAATGATTATTTAATAAATGAACAAATTTTATCAAATTTATTAAAAAGTGTTGTATATAACATTTTTAAATTGTATAAACATTTAAAAAAAAAAAATTGTTTGAAAAACACTGTTCTCCAAATTGACCGCCAGGTTGAAATTCTCCCTACTTCTATTTAATTTGACATTTAATTAATCAAATGCATTAGTAAACACAATTTAATTTGTCATATTCTGAACTAAGTGCTAAGTATGTATATTTTCAAAGTTAAAACTTATAATATTTTTCTTTTTTTTTCTTCGTAAGTTTAATTGAAGTCAGCTATTTTGGTAGTCAAATAGGCTATGATATATAAAATATATCATTGAACTACGGCTTCTTTCCAGATATAACAATTACTTTTCAACATGGCGTCAGATTTCAAATTATGTATTTGTGCAGTTTCCTTGATAAATAAAGGTATCATATATATATATATATATATATATATATATATATATATATATATATATATATATATATATATATATATATATATATATATATATATATATATATATATATATATATATATATATATATATATATATATATATATATATATAGCTACATATACAACTATTCAGGAAAGTTTGAACGAGAGTGTAATACTGTTTAGTTTTTTCTTAATAAAAAAAAAGTAAAAATGATGTGGCCTTTACTATTTTTTTTTTTATTAAAGGAAAAGTAATTAGGTTTACAATAAATGTGAACTTGTTAAGTTATTTATATTAATTAAAAAAAGTTAATTATTAAAATACACATGTGAAAAAGAAATAGCACAAAAGTTTAAATAGATTTTTACAAACAAACAAAAAATTACAAAAAAAAATAAATGCAAAATTAATATTTAAAATGTCCACCTTTGTTTTTAAAGCAAAGATAAACTAGTTTCTGAATCGATTCAACTAATTTTATGCACATCTCTTGAGGTACCTTCAACCAGTACTCATTCAAAAGTTGCTTTAAGTGCTCAGTTGATTGCATTTGGCGATACTTTCAATTGGGTTGGGATCTGGTGATCTAGGGCACCTAGGGATCACAATCTTTTTCTGCAAAAAATAATCTTTGATTGATTTAGCTGTATGAGCTGGAGCCCTGTCTTGCTGAAAGATGAATTGCTTGCTTCTACCATACAACTGTCTGATTGATGGAATTAAACACATTTCCAATGTGTTTTTGTAGGTGTACTGATTTATTTGGCATTCGTACAGCTCACACATTCCAATACCTTTGTGAGAAAAACTTCCCTAAATTCCAACCAAACCTCCACTGCCTTGTCAACGTGGTTGCAAAAACCGTTCTGAATATTTCTGTTGCAAATCGTTTGACATGTATTCTTCCCTTGCGGTTTACAACTTGAAAATTAGATTCATCACTCCAAATGACTTTTAACCAGTCAACAACTCAGTCTAGCTCAATCTTTCTTTTGACTATATTTGCTGTTTACATAAGTCCATGATTGATAAAATATGTTTACCTGCTGCAATGTACGTTTCAATACCTTTTTGCAGCAATGTTCGCCTAACAAGCTCTCTGCTTACATTATGATTATTTTTCGACTCATTAAAGATTTGTGCTTGCTTTTTGTAGCTGTGCCTAGGATTCTCTCTGCTAATTCTGAACATACTACATTTGTCCCAGTCACTGAGCTTCAATAATATCCCAGAATGCAGCATGTTAACGACATCCTTGGTAAGACTGGAAGGGTGTCAACGACATCCTTGGTTTAGACTGTTTTTTGTACGCAAGTTTCAGAAACCCCAAGTATTTTGCCGATTTGAACGAATTAGACATACTAATAAATGCAATGGAGCAAAACTGGTTTTTGCCCTACTTGTATGCAATTTGATATTGCTTAAAATTTGCAATGATTTCAGTTGATTTTTGTTAAATATGAAGCTGTTGGATAATGTTGTAACAAATTTTTGACTGAAAACCACTTAATCTACTTAAGTTTATGTTTTAAAACAGTTTTTGCACCAGATTAATTAATTAACAAATAATTGAATTTGAATAAGCTCGTTTAAATTTTTGTGACACTCACACCTATCTATTAATCAAATTTCCCAGAATTCACTTATGAGTCGAAACCTACTTTTTTATTTATTTTTTGATCAGAAAACCTAGTTACTGAATGGGAAAAAAATTATTTTGATATCTATTTTTGTTACATTTTTATTAAAGAAAAACTGAAGATTTGTTCTTAAAATTACACTCTCGTTTTAACTTTTGTGAATAGCTGTGCATATATATATATATATATATATATATATATATATATATATATATATATATATATATATATATATATATATATATATACATATACATATATATACATATATATATATATATATATATATATATATATATATATATATATATATATATATATATATATATATATATATATATA